CTCAAGAGGTTTCTGTCCCAGTGGTAAAACTGTATAGAAATTCAAGGTGATCAAATGGCTTAATAGTAAGAGTTGATCCTTTTCCCCAACATATTATTATGTCTGTCACGATCAAAAAAATTTACTGGATGACAAACTGTCCCAGAAATTATTGCGATAAACGGCATTATTTTTAATTTGAGACAAATTTTAAATAATATAATGATATTGGCATAATAGTCCATGAACTGCATTATTTATTGATCTCTGAAACATCAATAAGACTTAAGTTCTCAGTACAATTGAAGTACTATTTAAACATTTTAAACACCCAAATAAAAAAAAAATTAAAAACTCTAAACAAAAAATAAAATGGAAATAAGATCAAAACACAACCAGAACCATAAACATAATGGCTCAGACAGGTAAACAGACAAAACTACCAGTTTTAATTTATTATACAATTAATTGATTTATTGCGACAGGGTTACATAACATACTAAGCACCATCATGTCATACTGACAAACTTTTATGTGGAAGTCACCTCTGAAGGAAGAGGACTACGGTAAGTTAACCATGTTCGGAATTGGTGAAGAGCTTAAAAATTACATTAGGGAAACTACGAAAGGTGTAAAAAGTTTCTTTAAAGAAAACCATTTTCTACTGAGGCTGTCCCTTCAGGTTATTGGAGGTCAGATTTTAGATGACAGTAAGGAGCTGCCAGCATTACAGCAAAGGTTTTCAGATCAAATATATTTGACTGCCTGTAGACATAAGACATTTCTGTTGAAGTTGCTCAGTCAGTTGCATGCCTTAACCTGAATCAAAGTAATTATGTGAGTTTAATATCATTTTACAGTTAGCAACAAGCCAGGAAAATGTTCAAGAATGCGCACTATAGTCGACTATAGGATTCTGAGCGAAGTCGTTGCTTTTAGCTTGAAAAATAAAGACAGTGCGACTTTCGCTTTATACCTCAGAAGTTAAAAGTAGCAGATGGCTTTGATGCATGCTCATGTCACTTGTCATCAGGACCATGCTCAACCAGAATGTCTACAGATCATATGTGAGATATACAGAAGATCTGATGAGCAAGATATTGCGACAAATCTATTTTTGACTCAGACTTTACGCACAGGTACAGAGTGAAATGAGAAGTGAGACCCTCACCTCTTAAAAAGACTGAGATCCGACACTTTTTCATTTGAAATTCAGTGCATATTTAACAACCCCCAATTTTCTGTAAATTGATCCTCATAACCACATCCTGCTTTATACTAAGCCACACATAAATCTTAAACCATCAGGTCATGCGTAAACCACATGTTATTAGGTTTGAAAGATATGTTAGAAGGACAAAAAATAGATGAAGGCTAATTCATAGAATGTTTACGCAGAAAATGTGAAAAATAGTCTTCAGCTATTATAGCCGTTTCCTTCTATGATTGGTGTGCATCATTCCTTAACACCACTGATATGATAAGCGGTAAATAGTCCAGGCCAGACTGATCCTGATTGATGACATACTTCCAGCAAATCCCAAAGACTCTATTTCTGTACATTAATGAACAGCCTAAGCTAATTTCACCTCTCCATGAGTATCGAATAACAGCTATGAGCTCATAGGCTGTATGAAACCCTTCACTGTTAAAGAAGGCAACTAAGCTCCCCATCATTTCATTTTATTTGTTCTTTTTCTTTTTTTTTTGCGTGCTCTCTCTCTCGTTGCATCCGGAGCAGACCACAGCTGTGTGAAAGCCAACAGACAGGAGACTTAACGACTAACCGAAAGCCTGCCTGTCTTCAGCTTGACACCCATTAGTGTAAAATTCTTATTAATGGAGCAGATAGGAAAAATGAAATACTAGGTCTTCTCGTCACTGATCCAGGATTTATTTTTATGTAATGTATAAACATAATTTCGTCAAATACTCTCGTCTACAGTGGGCTGGAGAGGTTGTGTGAAATAGTATTGATCCAGTAAAAGACAACATGTTCATGTAGTTAATTTCAGGAAAAAAAAATTGTCTTCATTGTAAATATAATTTTGCTTGAAATACTAAACCACAAATATTTAAATCCAACAATCTGAGTTTAAAAAACAAACACAAAAAAAACTATAAGGAAAGGGAAGTGAAACAGTCCAGCTTTCCAGAACCTTGGTTGTAAAAAAACAATCACTTCTGCAGAAATAAAAAAATCTGGGCACTGGCTGAGATACATTTAAGACACCTGCTTCTAAGAAAAAAAAGATCTAAATTAATAACTAAGCAAAAAACGGATCAACATGCTCAAGCTGTACAACACATCGACTCATTTGGCACTAATAGAAGTTTTTGCAACATCCCAATTACAGAAGACTGCTTGGATGGGAAATTTGATTGCAGAGTATGTTTCAATTCCCATTCATTTACACTCAATATGGTAAAGTGGAGCTCCAACTTTTTGTGGTTCAGTGTTCACAATTCACCAATAAGTGCACATAACTCCAAATTATGCATGAAAGATTAGCACATTTCAGACCTTTGTTTGTAAATAATATCTTAAATATCTGAAAGAAAATTCAGGTTTGAAAGCTGAAATACATGGGTTCAATGCTACTTGGCATGTGATTGGCTGGCACTTGCAAAGAAGTGATAGCGCTAAGGAAGCATCCACTTGCTACCAAGGCATTATAAGGAGGCTTTTCAAAGTTAACTCGTTGATCATAACGCAAATTCCTTTCAGCGCTGTCATTTTCTTTAACATAGGATTGACAAAACGGCTTTGTGTTACTTGAAGGAGTTCTATTTTTTCACATATTGTCTCGTATTGTACCGTCTGTTATAGTAGTCAAACAAAAATGTAAAAAAACCTTTTTTTTTTTTTAAACAAAAACTATCTACTTCCGTTTTAAACATTATTTCCTTCTTTGTCTCAGCTCTTTCTCAGTGGGGCTAATCCCGTTTCCTAAAAAGTCGATTCCACTCTCTGTCCCACCCTCCTGTTCTACTCAGCGCAAATTGTGCGCTACACTCAGAACAGCTGTGAGTGCCGCTCAGTAGCAACAAATTAAACCTCTCTAATTATTTTACTGTTGCAGACAAAAACAACAACAACAAAAACGCAGCAAAGTAGCATTTTACATTCTATTATTCATTACTGAAGAAACACTAGACATATTGAAACAAATGAAAAATATAAAAAAACGATACATACAAAAGCAACAGACATGAGAAAGAATCCCATGTTACAACTGTCCTGCTTCAGAAATGACTTACTTTGAACAGCACTCTTAAAAGTCTCTTTTAATAAGCTCCTCCTACAGAAAATAGGAAAACACTAGGAAACTAATTATAACTCAGTTTCCTAGAAGTCAGACCTCAAACAAATACAACATGTGAAAACTTCCCAAAAACAAGTCTTATCCTAACGGCGCTTTTTAAAGAGTCCTAGTTCTGTACTTCACTCCCCAATGTTACATTTCATTCATTGCACTCTTTGTTTTCTTGTTATAATCCCACTTAAAATCTGTTGTCTTGGTTAATATTCCTAGATGAAGGGAAAAAGCAGTTATCTGTGGGAGTATATACATAAGAGCATTTCTGGCATTTTTGTTTTTTTTAAGAGAATGTGTCACCTTTATGAATTTTCTTTTTGTAGTATATTCTTAATATTGTTTGTCATGTGTGGTATTGATGAAATTGTAACACACATTTGCATCAAATAAGTATATTTTTAGCAAATTTTACAAAAATAAAAAAAAAAACAAAGTCAAAGTATGTGAAAACCATCTATAAAAACCTGATTAATTTGTTATTAGTCATGAGTTAATAATGGACAACATACAGTTAATTATGATTAAGTATTTTAATCAATTGACAGTGCAAATATTAAGGTATAATCGGTGTTTTAACTATTAAAATTGGAGTTATAAGCATTTTTAATAGGGGGTCTATTCACAGGTGGTTGAGGTCCCTAAATGCCGCATATACTTGGGATCCACTGGAACATGCACTGGTTCATTATGCCCACTTTGTAATATTTCATATTGCATTGTATCTAAAAGTTTGCATTTTTCATATAAATGCTACAAAAAGTTGAGTAGACCTGAAATTCATTTGGAATAATACAGTGCTGCTCACTGCCCTCGCAAGTAGAAGGCTCAGGAGTTATTCTGTCATTTCCAAATAATTTTAATCGGTTGTTTGGAAATATTTCTAGTTGTGAAAAACACGAGACGGTCATGGTGTGGTAACAAAGAGAGAAGCATCTTCCACTACCAAGCAATCCCTGAGCACCATACCCATTGATCCCAATTGGCCACAATAATGAGCACTCCTACAATAAGCACAAAAGCACAGAGAATTTCATCATCGCTTCAAAAAGGTCAAATTGGAAATCTGTCTTGAAAATACTTGCACCTCTTTCTCAAAATGTAGCAGTTTCACACCCACTGAACCACCATCCAGCACCCTAAAAAATACAGTGAAGAAGTTTGCGCATACGTGTGTATGTGCAAAGAAACGTATTCTAAGCTTCATTGGCTCAAGTTGCTGCGATTCTAAAATTAATTTTTAAATTAGATCATTTCCAGAGTAATGGGGATTTCAAAATATTCATGTTGACAGAAAAATTCCTGAAAATGATCTCGTGTTTTTTTGTTGTTGTTGTTGCTGTTTTCTGGGGATGTGGTTGGTTGCTTAAAAACATGTTGGAGAAAAATAAATAAAAGTGACTTAATCATGCTCTTTTCAAGAAAACTCCTGCTGATTTCGTGGAGATAAGGCCAAATCACATTAAGCACATACTGCTAAAGCACAACTGAATGCAAAAAACGGAAGAAATGCTGGTCAGACCTGTCAACCCAGAAAATAGTCTGATGCATTAAGACTACAAATTAGAAGGCTTCAGGAATCACAACAGCCTACTTCCATGCACACAAACTAGTTCTGGCACAAATGGCATTCCGTCCTAACATTGTTCAAAAAGAAAATCATTAACATCTCGGTGTGTGAACGTGTCTTTGCAAGCTACTCACTCTCTCCTTCAATTTTGTCAGTGCTTCGCGTCCAGATAATAGTCCGCGTCTCCAGTTTTACTTGAAAAGTCCGTCTCTCCGGCCTCTGGGACTTCTTTGAGTAAAACAGAGTCATTACTGTGCCCAGCTCCAGGTCTCGGTACAGGTTGTTCATCTCCGTGTCGTCCATCCACGGAACAGGTCCGTTGGACAAGAAGCCAGAGGTCCCAGCCATGTTCACTTCCCCCGTTTGTTATCCGTTTCCTCTCAGAACAATCTGCTTGGTCCAGGCCTAGACAGGGTTACCTACAGCAGGAGGGGGAGAGGAGGAGGATGCATGAAACAACAGTTCCCCGGAGTATTGCAATCCTGTATGTACATTAAACTAGGGCAAATACTTGGAAGTTAAATCCTGGAAAAAAAATAATACTGGAACCAGGGCTGCAGAATATACTGGATCCCAATGAGCAACGCAGCTTCATAGTTTGTCTGGTCGAAATGTTCAATTAGCTACAATATTTCAGCTGTTAAGCATTGGAGGAACTCAACCCATTTATGTATACATCTGATTTTGATCTTAGAGACTAAAATGCTAAAGCAAGATTACTCTGATATTGTGCAGCATTGTTTTAATGCAACAACTTTGGCTATCGTTTGAGCTTAACTCTCTTATGCTACTGGTTGAACTCATCTCCTAGAAACAAACAAAACAAAAAAGAAGAATGTTTACATTATGAGGTGCTAATTTTCAATGATAATGTAAAGCAGACATGTCCAGGTTATTATATATTCATTTTCTCCTCATTCATTCATTCTTGTTGATTGCACTGCTTATTATTGTTGATGTTTCAGCATGGCAAAAAACATCTAAGATGTATCATCTAAAAATAACATGATTAGCTTGCAGAAAAAAAACATAACTTACTATCTAATTTCATAATTTAACAGTATTGGGCTTCATTGGAAACAAAATACAAGCTTAGCAGTTTTTGTTCAAGTCACAATAACCACTGCTGCCGTTAATGGGGCAAATGTTATTTTTAGGATGAATAAAAGAATTATAATTGTTCTAACTATCAAATCTGGGCAGTCATACAATTCCCTTTGCAGAGTCTTTTATTTAATTATCTAAAGAGTTTTCAATGCAAATCACCCATGAATGAAGTTTTAATTGTCTTCAATCTTAAACCTACACACGGTCTAGGGATCACTTAAATGTTCATTTTGTACACCTATTGAATAAATCACCTTTTTCGGTATGGAACTCCTGTAAAAATGCTTACATACATGTTTAAAATCAGAATTGCTCTCAAACGTTGAGCAACCAAAGCCTAAAAATAGACATTTTAAGATGAAGCAAAGAAAAAAAGTTACCTCTATTTATATTAAACACGCTTTAAAGAAAATCCTTCCACACAGTAAATGAATGCAATGTAAACAGGATTTCTGCTTACTATTTTGACACAAGGGCTAAAAAAAAAAAGAGAGAAAAACTGAATTAAATTGGGATTTCTGGATCTTGATGAATTTTTCACTTCTTATGCCTTCTTTCAGATTTCTCAGCACAAATACCTTCAATACGTCAGTACAGGGTACACATCTGCATCACTTTCTTTTTTCTTTTCTAATCTCGAGCATAGATTAGAAAAGAAAAATATAGATTTATAAGGAAAAACATACACTGTAGTCATTTCACACATGCTGACTGTTCTACACAACTTCACACTCAGACAGGAGAATCATTCTTTAACTATCATTAGCAGTGCTGTAGTCAAATGACAGCTCATTACCTCCACAAAAACTGTTTTTTTCCGTCATTAGACATTTAAAACTAATAACACCACATCACTTTTAAATAAGCCTATTTTTGTTTTCAATTTATCCCGGAGGCTGTCAGGTTTTATTTTAATCTAGAATGATGTAAAAGACGCAAACAGGCCTGCAGGAAAAAAACAAAGCTCTGAATACAGCCAAGTTTAAGAAACGACAGTGTGAAAGCAGCGAAGGGGGGACAGCGGTCCAACAAGGAGCGTTTCACTATTTTACCAGCGTGGAAATGGGGCCGGTGGCTGCTAGCATTTTGCCTGGGCCGACAGGAGAACACGGCTGGATTTCTCCGTCATAAACAGGTAGCAGCAGCTACCGTGCCTTTTTCCCCCCTCATCCTTCTTAATTACTCTTAACACCCAGGGAGAAATTAACAAGGGAGAGGTGGTGGGAGGCGCGGGGGGGAACAACACTTAGCAGGAGCTGGGGAGCTCCGTAACTACCTACCGCAGCAATCTCGGCCCGACCGCACATCTCTAACGGCTGCTCCTCATTTCTCCTCGAGCGCGACTCCCCTCGTCCTTCTTTCTCCTGCTCCTTTTCCACGCTGCGGACCCGGGTTTCCCGTGAATTAAATCATCACCAGGCCCTCTGAAGGCACCACGAAGCCGACGACAACAGCTACGATCCCAGCAATACCCCCCTCTCCCCTCCAGCCGTCCATAGAGAGAGGCAGGCAGCGGTGAGCCAAGACTACGTAACTTGGTCTGTTCTCGGATCCAACCAGCGGAGGCCCTTCCCCCCTCTCAGTCCACGGGCAGCAGCATCATCCCAAGCAGAGTCAAAAAGCGAGCTTCCGCTACGGATTTTCAAAATAAAATATGAACAACGTCCGTTTGCTTTAACAAGCGGATGTTTCACCTAGAATGCGATTAACAAAATTGATCGGATATTAGCAAAAAATTAATTGTGCAACAACAATTTAAATAGGTAAATAAAACTGTAAAACTGTCACAGAAATTAATATTTGAACTCTAAATTGCACTTCCAATGACTACTGTCTACTTTGGCACAGTTAAACTAGTGTGGGTTGAGAATACTTGCTCATGACTGATTGCGTAGTTATTTTAGTCAGTGTTAGTTGCTGATAGGCCATTACAAAACTTTAAATGTCCTCCCAGATTTAGCTGTTTGATTGGACTCAGTGTCATGCTGAAAAAAATCAATCACTCTTCATCTTCAGCTTTGTAGCTCACATCCTCTATATTTTGAATAATAATTTAGACATTGGAGTTTGGGCCTTCAAAATGAAGGCCCAGAGCATGACGCGTCCATCCTTCCATTTCACTGAGGGCATAATATTTGTTTGATTGTGCTCACGCTCAGTGTTGATTTTGTGTCAAGCAATTATTTGGTTCATTTTTATCCTAAACTCAAAGTTAAGCATCAGGTTGGTGAAGCTTTGGAAACTGCCTGACCAGATTTTTTTTTTTTTTTTTTTAAGTAACTTAAGTAAAATATCTAGCTTTTGTAATATCACTGCTGTCCTACATTTTCTCAAATAATCAATTGCCACTTTTTGTTTTGGTAGCTTTGAAACTTTTTGTACACTTCCTCTGATTTAGTAATCAAGCGGTAGTTTTAACTGAAGGATTACAAATGGACAAATCCAACTAGGACAGTTTTGTTTTTTCTTGGTTTCATTCAATGCAATATCACTGATAGCAGATGTGAACCTTAAAAGAATGAATGCTGAAACTGAATCAAATGGTGGTTTGACAAGGCATGTGTGGAAAAAGACAACATGCTTTTTAAAATTTATTTTTACAATCTTAACTTTTCAAACAAGTCTATCATAACTGGGGTGTGTAGACTTCTGACAACCATTGTAAGCTTTGATTTTCCTCAAAAAATGACTTGAGTTTGAAACGGACTGCGAATGCAGAGCTGTCTTTTACTTTGAAAGTGTTAACCTTACTTCCGGAAGCTCTTTTGAAGTTTCACTGTAAACTTCAGGTAACTTTTTCTCAACAGAAGCGCCTATTTCAGTCTCTTTCTCCTAAAACTTTTCGTTACACTGTTCATTGTCTCCATTCAGCTGTTCCACAGCATGTCATTGAAAACAAAACACAGCAGAGATAAATTCATATGGAAGAAAGTGATGTTAATTTTAAGGATTATTTGCTTGAATCCATCTGATGAGCTCTAAACAGCTTGGTTTAATTCTACTGTGTACAAGATTAGGATAGCAGACAAACAGAATAAGGTTGATGTTTTATTCTGAAAACTACAAAGCTCTAAACAACAAGCTTTCAAATCAGCATGGGATTGTGTGATAAGTGATCAAATAACAAGAGATATTCATGACAAAAGTTAATCATTCACATTAGAAGAGTTCTCAAAGACATGTCCTGCTCTATTATAGCATTACAAAAACTGCACACCTACAAGGATAGATGATGTGATCATTTTTGGCTAAAAAATCCAGACCCCTGGATCAAAGAGAACGGTCTCTTTGAGCTCTGGCACACAAAAACATGATGCTTCGGGCATTTTAAGTAACCAAAATCACCTTTAGGCCTTGTTCACTGTAAGACTGAGGAAACACACACTCACTAAAGACTTGCAAAAGAGCAATAAGGGCTTTTTGTTGAGGATGCATACAGCACACGCTTCAAAACAATGACAATATGTACATCCCTGAAATAAACAGCATGGATAAAACTTGACATTCTGTGTGCTAATGTGTGTTAGCATAGTGCTAGAGTTTAGTTCCTCGCCGTCACCACTTTGTCCAGCTTAATTTAAACACCACCTAAACATTCGTCAAAACCATCATAATCTCTTATGTTAGTGGAAAACATAATAATTTATTATTCTATCAGAATTATTATTCCCTAGATCTGATGGCTTAGCATCTCAGAACATTGACTCTGACACAACTTACTAGTTAACGTGATCGTGGTTGCGGGAATACGGTCAAAGAGCTGCAGCTACATACACAACATCGCAATGTTTCTAAGGAGAGATGCCGTTCGGGGCAACATGGTGAAATCTTTCAAGAGTTGATTTTCGCCTGTACACAACTGGCCGATATTTACAGCATGATTATTAAACCTGTCTGTGATCACAGCTGGGGTGCCGTCTTGGCTTCGTCCCACAGCCATCGCACAGAGGAATCGTTTGACATCGGCGACAAACCATCTGTACAATCAAAGGCTTGAGTAGAAATGTTCAAATAAAAATACTAAGTGCAGTTAAAATTCATAATCCTTTTCGGCCATGTCGATTGCCCAGGCAAACTTTTCCCTCTGGGTCTTGTTGTAGATCTTCTCAATTGGAATGCTCCACTTCTTGCACCTGGAGAGAATGGGATACGAACCAATTAGGGACAAAAATCTGAGCAGCAGTTTGTGCTACTAATTCTAACTCTTCTTCACTGAAGCAAGACTGGACAAAAGGTATTGCATTTCCATGCAGCTGCTGGTTTTGTAACGATTTAAGGGGATTGATTCGTGAAAACAGGACCGGGTGAGTCTTATCAACTGCAAAAATGGCACCTTTGAGAGAAATTGAATTATGGCAAACATGGCTGAATTCAAGCAAGAAGACTTAAATGATACAAAGCGAACAACCAGAACTAAAACAAAACACAAAAGAACAGCATGAAAACAGAGCTGGGTATCAACGGCACAACATCAAAACCAAACTCAACCAGACCATGGCACATGTATGAATTTCCACTTTGTATTATTGTATCAGAAAAGAACTTCATGATAAAATATTACTTGCGTAATTTATGGATTTTAATTTTATTATTATTAAAACTATCATCAAATTCCACAAATCCTCAATACAGTAATTTAGCAGGATGAAGTGAACTGGCAGGTTCCTGTAGAAACACAGACTGTTCAACCAACTGCGCTTTAGTTTAGTTTTGTTTATAACACTGAACCTGTGGATTCTGTGGCACTTGCATTTATTGTGTAGTATAAGGTTTTAGCTCTGTTACACTGGTAGCCAAGTAACGACATTTCTTTGTCAAGATTCACCTTGTGTTTTTTTTGTACAATGACAATAAAGGAAGTCTAAGTCTAAACCTTTCCCCCATGTTGTCACAGGTCCTACACTGTAAACCAGGTCTGCAGGAACCACCCCATTGCTGAGACCCCCCATCCCTTACACTGCAGCAGGGAGCATTCCTTCGTCCATTGTGCTTGAGGACAAGTTTCTCCATAAATAGCTGTGGAGCATCCTTTAGGGAGGGCGGGCCACTGTTCACCCCTTTCTCTGAGGCATTCTGCCACAGACAGTTCCTCATGGACTTCCCACATGGAGGAAGGAGAGCTGTTTGGGGATGCACCCTAGCTTTCAGAAACAAACCCCATTGTTCATGGGGCTTTTTCTTCCTCTTATTTTCATTCTGTAGCCACTAGCTTTTTCACCTCTGCTGCTTCTTTTCCTACAATGCAAGGCCATTTCCTGCCTTTTAGTCACTGAGGTAGATGTGATGTGTGGCCCACAAGGTACACAAATGGCTGGCCTATGCATCGGCCGGTTTCCTACCCTAACGTTCCAGCTTTTTCAACCACAGAATTCCCAGCATCGGAAGAAAGAAAGTGCGTGAATACCAGGCAACAGAGATGCGTGGATCCAGGTAGTTGAGCTTGGAGGTGCCCAGCGCAATCTGCTTGTTCTCCTCTCTGTCCGTGGCTTGAACCTGGAGTTTCATGAGCTGCTCCTCTATCCTCTGCAAGGCTTTACGCTTCACCTCGACAGTCCTGAGAGTGAGCGAGTACAGAAACAAGAACATTAAAATAAGCCAGAGATTTTGATGATAAAATAAAAACACACATCACATGCACATTCAGCTGTGGAGGTTAAAAACATATTTCCTTTCTACCCCAAAATGGACGGAGAGTGTTAGGGAAGCGATAGATTAAACACTTTGCTGACAGCTAACAGCTCTCAGGCGTTCTTACTTTCTACTCTTTTCATCATGTGAGGCCTTGTGATCGGCCTTGGCGGCCTTCAGCTGCTTCCTGGCTGCAGATAGCTGCTTTTGTTTCTCGTCAATCTGCATCATAAACACACGGTGGATGAGGAAATTAGTGTAGATGATGCATCTTTTTTTTTTTTTTTTTTGCTTCTTGAAAAAACTTTTGCTAAGGCAAGGTTACCTTGGTCTGAAGATTCTGCATGGACTTCTCAAATGTTTTGGGCGGAGCTCTCTGGTGGTTACACAGGATGGCTACGGCTCTGTTAGCTCGGTTGTATGACAGGATCTTAGCCGGGATACTGTCCTCAGCTGTGAACCCAACAACAACAGAAACGGATAAAGGAGAACGTTTCAAAGGAACACAGATGGTTGAAGTGAATAGAAGTAAAGCTGCTCACGGCAGGTGAGTTCCTTGAGCTGCTGCTGCAGGGTGATTGAGGCATTGTAGGTACGGAAAACTTTGGCTGTCAGCCCATCCATCAGCTCCTGTAAGTGCTTGTTGAGGATGGAAGTCTACAGGAAACGCAGAAAAAAGACAGATAGTGTGCAGGTGAGGAAAAGTACCACAGACCTAAATGTAGCCCCATCACATCCTGGAGGCAGATTTTGGCGCTTTTCTTACATTCAATCTGTCAAAGAGGTCATCCTCTGGCTGCTTGTTCTCCAGAAACAACTGAAGATTTTTAAAGACCTGAAGACACATAAGCAGAAAATCAATGCGGATGAGAAAAACTGTACCCTCATTCTTTAATTCCATTCACTGTTGCACCATAACATTTCTAATGAAAAGGGGAAAATGACATCT